TTCAGTCCCTCAGTCTGACTGCTGATCTCTCACTTTATGTGGAACAGGAGAGAAGAGCTCAGAATGAAGCCAGAATTTCTGCAAGGCAAGGCAGGAATTTAACAGGCCTCTGAAGGACTCTGACAGCCACCCCAGGGCTGGGCTCGGCTCCACGAGCTGCAGAGAGCAGAGTTTCTTAGATTACAGGGCTGCCCTGGGTTGGCTCCACAGTCACCTTTGGCTCACATCTGCCTAATGGCCCGTGTTTGATCATGGGCCATTTTTGTTTTTTTCATAGCCCAGAAGGAATCCATTAGCCACTAGCAAAAGAAAGAAGTGTTTATAAGTGTGTATGTGGGGGAAGGTGGATGTCTCCTCCCACAGCCTCAGGCATCTGCCACCCCTCCTGTACGCAGGTCCTTCTGTCAGCATCCGTGTGCCTCATCTTACAGGTCGTCAGTGGGATTTCTCTCAGTTTTCTCAGCTTTCGTAGTGAGTGCTTGATCTGTGGGCCCACTGTCAGCCGGCATTTTGCTTCTCATCCATAGAAAACTCCCATATTGCAAAGTGTGTGACTTATCTCAGGCAAGTATCCTTAATATATAAAGAGCTTCTGCAAATCATTAATATAACAATAATAAGCAGTAACCCAAGGGAGAAATACCAAAAGAAAAGGAAACACAGATGATCCCTGAAAATGGCTCCTCAGTTTGTTTACAGCCAGGAAATGCAAGCTGGAGGAGAATGGGAGGAAGAACTCACACTCAGGACATGTGCATGTGACAGGCAACTGTGTCCTCCAAGGACACACTCATCCTCTAACCGCACAGTTCTACCCTAGCAGCTGAGCTGCCTCATTCCAACATAGCTCAAAAGACTTCACTCTTTGACGCTTTCTGATGGGCAGTACCTGACTGGAAATAACCCACTTGGGTGTACACATCAGACCCAATGTAAAATATTTTTCTGTGCCATGCCATTCGGAGGCTGAAAGGACAGACGCAGCCACTGGCACGGCGGCAATCCAGGCATGCAGGGGTCTTGGGCAATCCAGGCATGGAGGGGTCTTGGGCAGGGGACTGGGAAGTTTGAGGCTAGCCTGAAGGATGAAGGCCATACTCAGTCTCAAACAAACAACTGAAAGAAAGCAGGGACCGGGGAAGATACTTCTTTATTTTATGATTTATTATTATTTATTAATTCTCTGTGTTTAGAGTGAGAACAGAAAGGCACCGAAGGCTGCACTCCAAAGGTTCGAGTCTGCCAACGGGAGGAGCTGCTACACGCCAGTGAACACTCAGTGAGTGTACCGAGACTCACTGAGTACCACCCGGGCCTTAAAACAACACATACGTTTTACTTTTAAAGGTAAGAAGCTGTACTAATTTTCTAATAGCGTATTTAGTGACATAAGTGGTCCCGCTCTCTGTAAACATAGATTTCCACGACTATAAAATAACCACATGACTATAAAATAATCACACTGGATTGTATGGGGCTCCTCTACCCTGCTCTGTAGCTGTGGCAATGCTGCCTAATAAATACATAATGTTTGAGGTGTAAGACGGCTTCGGCTATGTTGTGGTCTATACACACGGACAATGATGCACACACCAACAGGACTATTCGGGCATTCATACTATATCCTAAACATAGAAAAACCAGAAGACATAATAAAAAGCGCATTGTGTTCTGACGAGTAAGACTGTATTTAATTTTATTTCAATTTTGGATAAACATTTTTGCTTAGTTGGTTTGGCTATTTTATTTTGTTTTGTTTTATGGAGACAGGGTTTCTCTATGTAGCCCTAGCTATCCTGGAACTCATTCTGTAGACCAGGCTGGCCTCGAACTCAGAGACCCAGCTACTTCTGCCTCCTGAGTGCAGGGATTAAAGGAGTGAGCCACCCCTGCCCGCACGCATTTTTTTTTAAGTCTTCACTATTACTCTATATGTGTATACACATACTCTCAGCATGCATTACTTAAGCTCTTTGTTTAGATTTCTTTTTAGCTTTCTTAATTTTATCCCTTTAAAATAAAACTCAAGGCTATAATGAGGCATAATTACATAAATGCCTTGTATGTATCTGCGTAGTGTTTTAAGTGCGTGATGGCATCAGTGTATGCCTGCCTCTCTCCAGGAAGGCAGGCTCCAAGTTAGAGTTCCCATTTTACAGATGAGACAGTAGAGGCCTTGGTCGATTCAGTGAAATAAGCAGAGTAGGAGGAAACTGGCAGTTACTCTGTACCGTGGGTTAGTTTAGGAATGAATTTCCTAAAATGTAGCCAGGGCTCTGAGCCCCTGGGAATGCCAAGCCTGGCTTTCAGGGAACGCGCCTAGAATTGGGTCCTCTAGGAACCTCCCCCAACACTGAGAGGAACCCCCTCCCCCTATATAAACACTTAGAAGAGGTGTGAGTGTGTGAGGGTGTCTCTAATATGACTCTCTCACTGTGCAGTGAAGTCCCTCTCGACTTAACTTCTTCCTCCTCCATTTCGTGCGTGTGTGTGTGTGTGCGTGTGTGTGCGTGTGTTCACGCGCATGCACTCAGGCATCTGTTTCTTTGTACTGGGTGAGCGGAACGATGCATGTGCATATACGTTCATATGTGTGCGCATGCGTGTATCAGCCCAGAGATCACGTCGCGTGCCTTCACGAGTTGCTGCCACAAGAGGCTCTCTCGATGGCTCAGAGCTCATCCAACAGACTAGGCTGCCAGGCTATCGATCTTGGGGTTCTGCACATCTCTGTCCCCGACTCCCCGTGATGGTATCACAAAGTATGCCACCACACCTGGCTTTTTATGTGGGTTCCAGTCCCCGGTCTTGCTCAGCAAGCGTTTTACCAGGGTACTCATCTCCCCAGCCCAGCCCAGCCCAGCCCGGCCCTGCCCGGTCCAGCCCAGCTTCTCCATATAGGCTCTAAACGCAGGCAGGAGAGCACGTTCTTTTATTCATTCACTATTGTCGGGTTTTGTTTGTTTGTTTGTCTGTTTGTTTGGTTGGTTGTTTTTAAATCATCATCCTTTTGGAAACTGAAACATGGAAACCAAAAACCAAACCTACAGCATAGCTTGAACCTGGGAAGCCTGACTGAGGTTGGACAGGGACTGTCCGGGAACCTCTGCTTGTGTGTTCCTGTGCCCCCTTTCCCAAATGTGCCGCAATCAGAAGGCTCAAAGCTCTCTGCTGACTCCCCTACTGCTCTCAAAGTTAAAGCCCCTGCAATGACCTTTGAACTCCAGCAAGATCTGTGTCCTCAGCATCCCTTGCCTCTGATCATTCCGCTCTAAATAAGGTCTCTCTGGCTCAGCCCTAGCATCCCTTTGGTCCTAGGCCTTCAGACAAGTTCTGCAAAATGCAGTTTCCATGGCTTTCCCCCGGAGGCGCATGCGCACCTTCATTTGTGTCTTATTAAACCATCCCGTTTTAGTATGAGCTTCCTCAAATTCCAGCTGTGTAGTACCAAAGATTGGGCCTGAGCAGAGATATCCCACAGGGACAGGCTTACTGCCCAGGCACCAGACTGAGGAGGACATCACTCCTTGACACAAAATTGCATTTAATTGTTCCTTGTAGAACCGAGCCGAGGGAAGCACCTATTCTCTTCAGTCAGCCCTGGTGACCTCTGACCTCTTGTCAGAAGGACCCAGGTCAGTCCACTAGCAAGTTAGGATGCACTGTCCTGTAATCGCGGGAAGCTATTCATTTTCTTACGCGACAAACATTATTTGAGGCCACGCAGCATGGCTGGGGACAGGTCGCTATTATTTTTGTTGCTGGTTTTTTTTTTTTTAATTTTGTTTTTCGGTCTTCTACCTGCTTACCAGGCTTTCTGGGCTCAGCCTCCAGAAAACCGGAGAAAGCACCTCTCTGCGTTGCGCATATTTAATAAGTTCCAGGGGGAACCCTGCGCTGGTGGGCTAAGGAACAGGAATGCTCTCCCAGTTTAAGAAAGACGTTCTTCAGCTTGAGTTTGTTTGGATGAAAACAAGACGGGCCCACATTTCTGTGTAAATCTGAAACCAGACAAGTTTCACACAGTTGCACATTTCAAAAAAAAAAAAAAAAGAAAAAGAAAAGAAAAAAGAAAAAAAAAACGTTCTGCTCCCGTTTGGTGAGTATTCTGTATATTTGGGGGAGGAGGGCCCCCTTATACTTTCCAATGACAGAACGATTCCTCTTCTCCTCTCCAAAACCCGTTTTTGAGCCGTGTTTTCGAGTGTAGACTGGTTCTCTGGTGTGTATGAGAGTCTGGGATTCTGGTAGACTCTTCCATGACGTGTCAGCTCTGGGGAATGCTGTGGAACCTACCAGAACAGTCCCATTGCCCATAAAAACAAAAATCTTCTTTCTCACCCAGAGTGCCATGTGCACCTTGGTCCAGAAAACCTCAGCCTGGCTTATGAGAATATTGTGTTCTGAGATATTTCTGCAAACACACACACACACACACACACACACACAGTCTTTCTCTTTCTGTCATTTTCTGTGTTAACCACATTCTTAAAAGCTGGAGGCACGCCAATTTTTTTTTCTTGAAAAAAGGGAAAAAAATTCAAAAGTTTTTTTTTTTTTTGTAATTGAAATTCATGACAAATTACAGACAGTTTTTTTTCTTCTTCCTGTCTCTTTTAGAACAACGTGTCCTTAGAAAAGAGCTTTCTTACTGAAATGGAACATTGTGGAACCTGGGGAGTGTGACTGGGAACAAGCTACCTCTCACTGCCGTGAGCCACGGCCGCCCACGGGACCAGTGTTAGGCCTCTCACTCAGAGAAAGACAGTGCTGGATGCAAGTGGTCAGGAAGCAAGAATGAAAAGTGGAAACCTTTTGTTTCACACTTGGGTGCTGACCAGGTGAGGACCAGGTCAGACTGGTGGGTGTATGCAAGTGAACCCTGATTTCAGCCTATGAGGTGTCTCTTCTAATATAGACACAAGGGAAATGTCAAAAAAAAAAAAAAGAAAAAGAAAAAAAATCACCCTGTCATCCAGTACAACTCATGATCTAATGACTGAGGGTGAGGTTTATTTTATTTTTAAAATTTTTTTTGTTCAACTGTTTGGATTAGGATTGTCACTCTAATTGCATTTACTAAAACCTTTTTGACAATCATATTGCCTCACAAATAGATTTTTTTTTCTTTTGAGGTCATACCAAGGCCATAACTTTGACCTTTTCATAAGAATCTGGTGTCTTCCAGATCCTGGTGAATTCGTTGCCCCATGGTACAATTTTAAAAGGTACCTGCTGCGTGGCTCTTGGTCTCGGGTGTTTTGTGTGGATGTTCGCTGAGTTTTTCCTTCTAACTGACAATCACAAGTCTCCAACTGCTTTCAGTTTTCTTTAAATCTGTAAGCAAATAACAATAAATTTGGGAGGGAACATACACATATTTTTACAGCCCCCCCCCATTTCTTTCCTCTAGATTTCTTGAAGAATTTAACAAAGATGTCACTATGCCACTGGTCACAAGGGCAATTTAGAGGGGGTTCAGGGAAGGTGCTACCCTTTAGTGCCAAACATGACAGTGTCCAAATTCCAGTCACAAAGAGGAAGAATGTAACGCAATGTTTGAAGAGAAACCAGAACAGGTGCGAAGAAGTCCACAATGAACCAAAGATTTAAATTTTATATAAAGATGGAATCAGGCCTTGTCCACTGGCTTTCAGAAGAATGAACTGGTCACTGCTATGTCGAGAAAGGTTTGGGGAAATGCCCTGTGGGTAATCTATTAGGCAAGGCTTATTATTTTAAGGGCTAAGATCATGGGCACAGGAGTGGGTTCTTCTGTCCAGTTCCCTCTCCGGGCGTGACTGAATCAGAAGTTGGACCATTCACCTCTGAACTCAGTTCCCAGTCCCGAACAAACACTTTTTGTTTTTTGTTTCTGCAAACCTCACAGGGGGATCTAAGGAGTAGCTCATGGCTCAAAGGCCTTCCTTACAAAAGGACTTTAAATATATATATATATTATATATATTTAAAATTATAAATATATAATATTTATAATTATATATATATATATAAATTATTGCTGGATTTGGGTAGTGACTTTTAAGTGGGGTCAGCGGTCTTGGCAGGTACTAAGGTCATTGTCAAGGACTCGGGATTCTTTAGTATGCAGACCAAAGTCAGAGAGTTCAGAGGTATTGTTCCAGTGCAACCACGTTAGACTGGGTAGAAATGGACAAACTACTTGACCATAATCACCCAGGCTTGCCCATTCACCATGCCTGCACATGTGCGTGCTTGTATGTGAGTGTGTGTGAGATGTGCCGAGGTCCCGCTCACTGTGAACATACAAGATGCTACTGAACTGCACCAGCCCCCTTCTTATTTGTGAATGTAATATATACGTTTCTATATCCTTGAAATTTTGAGAAATAGTTCTGTTGAGGAGAAAGTGTTGGATCTGTGTTGTGGTGACTCTTTTCTCTGGGACCCAGACCACCAGGGGGTGGGGGTGACAGCGATGGAGCAACCTCACTAATACCATGGCTAAGACCCCCTTCCCCCACTCACAGACAATCCTGTTCAAAGTGTGCACAAATCTTTTCACTTCCCCAAAGTGAACGGACTTGAATTTCCTACCTTCTAAAATACAATCTTCACAGCCTAAATGAACCTTTTCAACTGTGTGGTTAGAACCATCGCAGAGAGAAATTTTGAATTTTTAAAACGTCCCAGGAAGAGGAATTTTTTTTGAAGCCCCCTCCCTTTCCAAGGAAAACCCAATTATTTTCCTGATTTGCCAGAGTTACATGTTGCCATGTGGGCAAACCAATAGATGCCAGGCAATCCCCGTGTCCTTAAAAATACACACACCACACACACACACACGCGCACACACACACACAGAGAGAGAGAGAGAGAGAGAGAGAGAGAGAGAGAGAGAGAGAGAGAGAGAGAGAGAGAGAGAGAGAGAGAGAGAGAGAGAGAG